ACTCTAAAACGAGCTAATTTTTTCTGATAAACTTTCTCATTAGGACATTTCGAACAATGACAACAATTACAGCAGTCTAATTCACTTTCACTTTGGCAGTTTTCAGTGCAATGTCAGCCCGGAGGGAACTTTCGCTCCTGTTCGCTTAATTCTCACTTAATAGTTTGATTTAACTCTTTTAGTTTACTATATTTATCATAACAAGTTAAACAAGCTCAAAAATCACCATGATCTAAGAAAAATAAAAGATCTGAGGTTTGTTTTTTGCAAAAGAAACAGTTATCATCTTTTCGCGGATACTTTTTTAATTCCTTTCATAAACCATCACTAGTTTGAGTAGGAATTTTATAATGATTAATAAAAATGTTAATTCTTCTCTCGTTTTCTTCTAATCAAAGTTTAAATTCTTGTAAGAATTCTTTTTGGTTTAGTTTCATAAACTTCCTTTGTTGTTTTTCTTGGGTTTTCATGGCTTTTAAGATTCGGAGTATTCGTTCATAAAATTAGTTAGTTTCTCGATTTTTAATTACAGTTGGTCAACAATTAACACAACTTCAACAACTTTTAGTAAAATTGCTCTTGGGTAAATAGTGGTTAATAGTGGCTTTTTTCTGGCAATTAGGGTGATTATATTCACAAGGTTTATTCATCTTCAGATTGCTTATATTCTCTTAAATGTTGCTCTAATTTAGGACAGACATATTTTTGTTGGGGGTCTTCCTGGGCTTTTTTACAACCTCAACAACCATTTTTAAAAATTATTAGTGCTTGGTTCATAATTAATTAAGGTGCTTGACTTGCTTATTTTTTGAACACTTAGCACAAATATTTTCGTGTTTTTCATCAACTCCCGCTAGGATTAGTTCTCTACATTCTTGACAACGGTAAATGGTTACCTTTATTGTGCTTTCTTGTTTCTCTATCTTTTGGGCTGCTTTTTGAATTAGATTGTGAGTTTCAGGATAATTTGCTTTAAGAAATTCTAACATTGGGTCATTTTTAGGAACATATACCATCATTATCTTACCTAAAAATATCAGTTCGTCTTTATTAAAGTTAGGTAATCTTTTTTCTAACTCTTTTAAAAGTTCTTGATTAGTTAGTAAATTAGTGTGGTTCATAAAATTTAAAACATTTCTAAATGATCTTGGTCTAGTTCTTTATCTTTCGGTTTAGGTTGACAATTAGCACACCATTTACTAAAAACTTGGGCTAAGCTTTTCATTTTTTGACACTTTTCACAATGGCGATGCTTTCATAATCATCAGCCCAGCAAAAGCAGTCCGTTTTCTATTACCAAAATGGTTAAAATAAAAGTTTCTAAATTAGTCATGATTAGTTTCTGCCGTTTATATGTTGTTCAGTATTTTTTTCAATGAGGTAATAAATAGTCTCTTTGTTTAATCAGTATCATTCAGCATCGTTTAACTTTTCACTAGGGTCTTGGTTTAATTCGGCATATGCTTGTCAATACTTGAAGGTTTGCTTAATCCCTTTGGTCTTAATCTGGTGGTCTACTAATTTTTTTCTTTCTCTAAATAAGGTGCTTCGTCGGTCAATTTTAATATAGGGATGATTGGTCATGGCATTTTTATTGTAGTTGGCTTAAATGAGGGTTATTCTTTCATAGTTTGCTGTAATCAGCATAAAGGGTTTGGTAATCATTATGAATATAATTCGCGGTAGTAGTCAGATGAGAATGTCCTAACAGTTTTTGAATGGTAGTTAACTGCGTTCCTTGATTGTGTAAAAGAGTAGCAAAACTTCTTCTAAAAGTGTGAGGGGTGATCAACTTTTTAATTCCTGCTTTTCTAGTTCGTAAATTAATTACTGCTCGAATATATTCGGCTTTAATAGGTTTACCTCGTGAATTAAGGAAAAAATAATCAAGGTTGTTCTTTTCAAACTTAATGGTTAATCAAATCGGTAAAAAAACCTGTCTTTCTTTATTACCTTTTCCTAAAATTCTTAT